AGAGAGGGGGTGTGAGGGTCAGAGGGATAGAGAACATAGTAGGATATAGAGAGAGAATATGAAAAAAGACGTTAGAAATATTTTCTAGGCCAATAGTTAATACCAAAACCTCAAAACTACCCGTTCCTGCCCCCTCCCTCTCTCTGTTGCTGTCTCTCTTTCTCTCTCCCCCTCTCTCTACTCTGTGCGGACATACACGCGCGCGTGTGTATATTACATTACCCCCCCCCCGAAATAAAGCCATCTGAGTATGGGAAGTACACTTACCTCCGATCTGTTATTATATTTTTAAAAAACCCATTTTATAATGTTGTATCGTGATACCCGCTGCCAATAGTTAGGGACACAGGTTTGCTTTTCCACAGCAATGATTTCAAATTCCAGCCACGACCGTAGGCTAACTCAAACACTGTACTATTAGAAATGTGACTTAACTTTGTCAGTGAGGTGATCTAGTACCACGGTTCCGATACCAGGACACGCCAAATTTCCACGGCCTTGAAGAAACTAAACGTCCTGCTAAACCAAAGCATTCTGTTGTCACATGGGTGTTATTGTTATTGTAACTAGACGTAACACTTGACTGGTGAAAACTGGAAAGAAGAATTTGAAACCCGCTGGGTTTTAGCTTTATCAAAACCTTGTCTCGTTAAGGTTTCACCAAAGTGCTATCTTCTGACAATAAGGGACCACATTCATAGGTCATGGCTTTTGGCTAATTGTCTGGTTCCTCCACGCCAAAGAAACTAGGAAGTGGGTGGTGGCAGATCAGTTTTGGCCCCAGCGTCGACGTTATATTACTAAAGAAACATCTTTATGTAACGTCTTTACGGAGCTCTTCAGTCCGAGAAACCGGTCTGTCTGACTTCGGCGAGTCCCAAAGCTTGTAATGTGTGCTTTTGTTTTCGCCGCCTTTGTCCGGTCGGTTCGTGTGGGTAATGGGTCGAGGAGCCTCTCTCTTGTCCTGGCGCCCGACGGCAAACTAGAGCCGGAGATCCTATCACACGAGCATGTTTTCTTTCTCACTTCTGCTCTGTGCTGCCTCTTTCCAATTACCTAAGGGCGCCGTGGAACAACGCAGGACTAGGACCGTCCGAAGCAGCATAGAAGTAGGAGAGAGACAGAGGGTCTAAAAAAATTAAACAAACAAAAACACTGTATTCTAAGATAACTTGAGAAATGAAGGAAATGAGTGGGGGGTCCGATGTAAAATTATGGCATCTCTTCAAACACGTACTTAAAAGAAAATGCCAACAACTCTTCAATCTCATGAAAAGAGCTGACTCTCGACACCCCCCCACAAACACATTCACATACGTGCTAAAGATAATATAGTACTTATTTTCTCTCTATATATGGCAATTTTGAGGTATTTGCTCACTTTGTCCCCTTCCCGTTCTCTACGGACAGACAAGTCTTCTGTTCAAGGAGCAGACCAGAGGGTCAATTATTTCTTTCTCTTACCTTTCCTTGAATAACGTGTACCTTTTTGAGGACAGAAGACCTACATTGACAGTGTCTGACTCTGAACGTGTATCAGTCAAATTAGCTCCTATAACTTTCTTTAGTCTAGAGTTATGTAATTCACAACAGTAATTGCATTTGGTGATGGTACTTGACCTGTGATATGCAAATAGAACTTTCGACACCATCAATTTTTAAAAGCAATTCTGGTACACACATTCAAATAAAAAATATTTACCTATTTTCAACTTGTTTGAAAAGCTAGTGTCCACGCACATACACGATTAGTGCAGGGACACGGAGGGTATGTTTGTTTTCCATGTCGCAACCTTACCTTGACCAAACCAGGAGCAGAGCGTAAAACATTGTGTTTGCACAGAGGCGACAACCGAGGGTATTATTCTTGCCCTAGGGGACTGTCGATATAGGACGTCTTCGTACTTATCTAATTGGTAGGGAAAGGGGGGGGGGGGGGGGGGGGGGGGGGGGGGGGG